GGTGGATCGAGGAGAAGACTTAGTCTTACCAGAATGAAGCAAGCTATTAAAAGAAAAAGTACAAACACAAAAGCACGCAGTTTGAGAAGATTGAAGGCTATCTTCTCTAGTACTTCAAGAAGAACTCCTGAATACAATCTGGGAGACTCTTCGCCAATGTCGTCTCAGTTTTCCTATAAAAGTGGTATCGAATCTAACGATACTTCTGTTGCTCCAGTTCGCTCTTCATGTTCAATTTTAGAATTCTGCATGAATCCTGAACGTCTTGCAGTTTTCTCTACAAGCTCAATTCTGGAAAATATCCAGAACGATGAGACTGCTTCAGTCTGTTCTTGTGACTCAGGTTCAGATTTTTCTGATGAAGCATCTGAATTTGCATCCATTAGAGCCATAAAGTCAGTTCCAGAGAGAATTGATTCGTCTGAGACCGTTGAAGTTTGCTCTTGTGACTTAGATCTAGAGATCATCCAAGACGATGAAACTTCCAAACGCACTTCCAATTCGGCTGTGCAGTCAATCCCAGAGATAATTGTATCCTCTAATACTGGTGCACATTGCTCTTCTAGATCAGAGCCCGAGAATATCCATGTTGATGAAGCTTCGGAATGCGCTTCCAGTTGGGATATGGAGTCTATCCAAGAGATAATTGGCTCTTCCAGGGCTTCTGAATGCGTTTTAATACCACTACCAGAGGGTGAGGCTGATCTAAAGAGAGAATTGAAGGGGTTGTTACTACATCTAGAAAATGTTAAGGAGCAATTATATGAGTTGTGGCTTACTGAAGGCTCAAATCATCCTTTCTACTCCTTGTTGGACTCTCAAAGGTTGACCACTGAATCTGAGATATGTGCAATCAATTCGAAGCTAAACGCTTCTCTTGATCAGGCTAGCGATATCCATGAAGAGGACCACAAAATAATTCAAAATGAACCTGATTCACCAATTGTGAATGATCTTGCCTTACCCAAAAAAAGCTCCGAGGCGAGTGAAACCAATCTCAAGAACGAGTTGGAGAGGTTGTTAAAGGATCAAGAACGTAATAAAGTGGAGTTAGCTCGCTGTACAGCGGCTTTGGGAACAGATAACCTTATAGAACGCATGCCAGAGATCCTGCACTTGAAATTTAAGCAGCGTCAAATTGCTCTGCAGATTTCTAAAATCAATTCCAAGTTAAATGCTGCTCAAGCTTTTCCTATTGCCGATAATCTAGCTGTGTCCAAAAAAAGCTCCGATAAGCATGAGGCTGATCTCAAGAAAGAGTTGGAGAAGTTGTTAAACGACCTTCAGCATAATAAGA